AGAACTGTGAGTGGTGGATAGATTTGGGCTAGGAAATCATATTCCTCAATCTATGAAATTCTATGTTCATCTCTTTCTCTCTTCTCCATTCAGGTCTTTACTATGGTGTGACACACTCTCTGTGTGTCTCCTTTCGTAGGAACCTGAAAAATGTTCATAAATGAAGGCCTGCTTGTCTGATTGTGCTGGGAAGTTTTTGTGAGTTTGACAGCCACCAGGGAAAATAGGTCTTCAATTGGAGAATTGTTTCTATCAGATAAGTAAATGTGTCTAGGGGGTGGGGGGATTTTCTTGATTGATTACTGGTGAGGAAGGGCCTTCACATGGGCTGTGGCATAGGCAGGTGGTCCTGTGTTCTGCAAGAAAACAGGCTGAGCAAGCTATGAACTGTAAGCCAGTAAACAGTGTTCCTCCATGATCTCTGCATCTGTTCCTGCCTCCAGGTTCCTGCCTTGGGTCCCTGCATGAGCTTCATATCACATGCCCATAAGCAAAAGCAAACCATTTCCACCTAAGTTGCTTCAGTCAATGTTTTATCACAAGAAAAGAAAACCAAACTATGACACTCATGAAGCATCATTGTTGACAGGCTGAGTGATATGTTACAAAAGAGCTTTAAAAGCCAGTAATAGATGAAATGCAGTGAGCAGTATTCTGCCTTTGGCACATTATAATGGCAAAGAATACATCATAGGGTGAGCGTACAAGAAACTGAAACTCTAGGTAAGGTTTGGATGAGCAATTTTCTTCAATTATTTTTAATCCTTCAACCCCATGGCAATGTCCTTACTTGGGCTTTTAAATGGTTTACTAGTCTGACTATAAGAGTCTGCAAGTGCCTGGATATGCTGGCACATGTTTGTAATTTGGAAGATGCAGTCAAGGGGATCAAGGCTTTAAGACCAGCCTGGGCTATATAGAGCTATGTGATATCCTACCTCAAAGAAGGGGAGGGGGCGGAGAAGGAAGGATAAAAATAAATTAAGAAGAAAGGACTGTGGCTAACTCAGTGAACAACTGAGGTATGATTCAGGAATGACTGAATCAATATGACATACTTAAGCAAGATCAACAGAATGCAGAAAATTGGCTTAATCAATATAGAAACAGTCCAGAATCCAACCTGATGAGAAGATAAAAATTCAGAAAGTATTAGAAAGCTGTCACCATCCTCTGATTTCAGGGAGAGAGTAAGATGGTGGCATCACTGGAGTCTAGGATCTGGAACCATCTGATTGGAGTCAAAATCAATCAGATACATTTGCAAGGAGAAGGTATTGGGAAGAAAGAATAAAGGAAGGAGAGAAGTTGGAAGAGAGGAAGGGGGGGAGAGAGGGAGAAAGAACACCTTGTTTCTCCCTATAGCTAGAGAGCAAAGATCAGAGGAAGCTCAACAAATTCAACCCTTTCATGGCCCTTCTCTGTCCCCTGGGGTATCCTAACTATAAGTCCGATATTGACATTTTCTGCTTTATAGTCTTCTGTGGTACTTGTTGCAATGTAGGAAAATATTATCAATTCCAGCACAACACACAGGATTCATCTCCATCTGCATGGGTTTACACCAGGTCCAGGATATTAAGATTCCCCTTCTGAAAAGGCCCATCTATTGGCCTTACGGTGGAAGTAGAATTATCTAGCAGCACTAGGACTGTGACGGAGAACATTGTGAGTCGAGTCCCTCCAGGTCGAAGAAGGCCAAAAGGAGGGGAACACAACAGTGGGGCTCAGAATAAGTTAGAGATGTCCGTCAAGCCACGGTGCCCTGGTTCCAAAAATCACCAGTGATGGAAGTGGGTAAGCTGCATCTCAGGAGGAAAAATTCTTTCTTAATACCTCCCCCCATGTGACTGTATCCAGAAAATTCCAGGCAAATGGCAGAGACTTTGTGAAGCCTGAGCTGAAAATACAGCAGCAGCACAGGACCAGCTCCTGGGTACCATATGAAGCACCTGGGTACCTCCTCCAGGGGTACACAATGTCACCAGGAATAGGGGACTTGAATCTACCTACAGACAGGTAAATGTCATCACTTCATTGTGAAGAGTATCCCAGAGAGAAGGAGCTGGACTAAAGATACTACCCTGGTGCCTGCTGATGGCCTCTCTACTCAGCTGCATGGCACAGGCCACTCCAGGCTCTAACCCAGCTGTGTCTACATTATATTCCCAACATAAACACCTGTACCTTATCCTTTTCAGAGGCAGAAAAGTCAATAAACTCATTTTCTCACAGAAAGAATCTGTCCTCTGTAAGACCCTGGGGAATTTGGCAACAAAGTTTAATTTTCTGAGTAGGCAAAGAATCTACAAGGGAAAGGAGCGTGGAGAAGAATTGAAGGCACTGACATCTATTTATGGAGAATTTATGCCACACTAGGAATTCTAGGGCTGCGATTCGAGCCAATGCTTGCCGCAGGTTTCCAAAACAGACAAAGTAGGGGCATGAGTAGGAAGCTGTAGGGATCAGAGCTGCCCATTCATCTCTAATGCTTGCTTCATTCAATAAATAACCATCAGGGGTCAGAGAGATAGCTCAGTCAGAGAAGTCCTTGCCACGCAAGAACAAGGACCTGAGTTTGATCCCCAGAATCCTTGTACAAATGCCAGGCACAATGCTGTGCTGGGGAGGCAGCGACATGCAGATCCCTGGGGCTAATTAGACAACCAGTCTAGCTGTTCAGAAAACTCCAGGCCAAGGGAGATTCTGTCTCAAACAAGCAAGGTAGCATCTTGGGGTGGAGCTCAACAGACAAGAGAGCTTGCCGCATGCTTAAGAACCTGAATTTGAATCTCTGGCACACAAGTGAAATACTGAACACCACTGTGAGCACTTGTGACTCCAGTACTGGGGACAGACAGAATCATGCCAACCCTGGGAGCCAGGCTAGCTGAAATAGTGAACTTTTGGTTCGGTTCAGTGACAAACACTTCTAAGGCAGAAAGGGACAAAGAAAGGATACTTAATGTCTACCTCTGGACCCTGCCTAAACAGAGTGAACACTCAAACACAACAGACACACACAATAAAGGGAGTTGGAGCAAAGGCTCTTTGGCTAAAAGCACTGGGTTTTAGTCATGGGTTGGATTCCCAGCACCCTCATGGCAGCTCACAACTGCCGAGGACTCCAGTTCCAGGGGATCCAAGGCTGTCTTCTGGACTCCTCAGGAACCAGACACAGGCATCCACTTTGTGCAGACAGACACGCAGCCAAAACACTCGTATGCATAAAATCAAAAAAAAAACAACAAAGAAGAAGAAGAAGAAGAAGAAGAAGAAGAAGAAGAAGAAGAAGAAGAAGAAGAAGAAGAAGAAGAAGAAGAAGAAGAAGACGATGAAGGTAGATAGTGCTTAAGGAACAATGTCCAAGATTGCCCTCTGGCCTCCTGGTAATCATATTTGCATGCCTACCAACACGTATGTGCCCACAGGAACACACATGTACATTTAGGTATACACATAATAATAATTGCAGTTGTTTTCATTACCTAGTGATCACCATTAAGGAACTAACTCCAGGGGCTAGGCATGGAATTAGGACTGGAAGCCCAGCGCAAACCCAGCATCGTCCTTTTCTCTGGAATGTCTGTATCTGTGTGTTGGAGGTGGGAACATGGGTAAGGCCTTAAAGCCTCTTCCAGAGCCCTAACCTCCATTGCCAGTTCTGCCTGGCCATGTACAGGAATAAGGTGTTTGCTTCTGTACCCGACCCAGGGCTTGCCAAATATCTCTGATATCCATTTTCATGGTGTGTTGAAAATCTGGATGCATCTCACAACTGATGCAGAAACTTAACATGATGGGTTTTTGTTTGTTTGTTTGTTTGTTTGTTTGTTTTCTCCTAAAAACCAAATAAGAGAAAGCAAACCAACAAGGTCTATGATGTTAATCAATCAATGGTGTGGATCAATTCAGTCTTAAATTTGAGTAATTATGGAAATTGTTTATAATCAAGATATTAATACCTCCCACTTGGGAGGCACTATGCAGACTATTTGAGGGAGGAAATGTGGGTTAAATTTGCATCCCCACCCTCACAGGATGCATTAGTGCTTGGCTGCTGTGTAACTCTCGCCTTTGCCACATGCTCACCACCCTTGTGAGCCAACCAATCAGAGTCCCCAGGAAAAACCTGCTTCTTGTTATTGAGTAGAAAAATGAAACATTCCCTTTATGTTGTTGAAGGTGAGGACCATGTGGCTTAACCTTAATCCAGAGTCTCTCTTCAATGTCTCCATTAGGGTAGGGACACAGACGTACGTACGTGAGAGAAAGGACCAATTAGGACCATTGAAGACTAATGTGTTTTCTCCTGTGTTAAATCAAGGTGTGCCCCAAAACATGGCTTTCCTGCTGACCCAACCTCAACTCCGTGCAACAAACACTAATTCACCAAACCTCCCAGGGTCTGAGGCTGGGAGACAACACGTAGGTTTTTAAATAGGGTGCCCAATGTGCTTCACCCCTCCTCTAAAGAGGCTCCACGTTAGGGGCATCAGAAAGAAATTTCCATGGTGGAGCTAGTGTGTGTTTTCAGACCATGTTAGTGTGTGGAGATGAGGCCACTTTTAGAAAGACAGGAGTTCATGGGGAAGCAGTGGCACCTGCGCTACCAAGACAGGCAGCTCAAGGGCTGACCTTCCTCTCTCTTAAATGAGACAAAAGAAAAGGGGATTTTTTTTTAAATCACTCCATCTTCTAGGTTCTCTGGGGGGGATGTTTGTTTTGATGAGATTTCAGGCCTGATTTCCAAGAATAAGGAGGTGCCAACTGTTTGTAAAGCTCCTAAGCCAGCACGCTCTCTGACCCCTCGGGAGATTTATCTTTTATTTATACAGAACATTCTTAAAAGCCTGTTACAGAGACAAAGAAGAGACTGAGTGATTTCACGTAAAAGGCAGCACCGTGTTTGGAGAGCCCACACTTAAAGGAAAGCAGTGCGGGAAGGTTCCAGAACAGTAAGTGGAGAAAATGGTTTTAGTCATTCACTTCAGTTCAAACATAAGTCAGCACTGCTAGGCTTCGGCAGATTAATCTGCACACAGACACTGCTATCAGGGAACACACGGTTTGGAAAAGGAAGCTAACTTGCAACAAACACAAACTTGAGTGCAGAAGAAGCTGCAGGCTGGCCTTCTTTTCGTCCCGCCTGCTCCCACATGGCTAGCTGAGCCCCAGAAATAATAACACACAAACTGTATTCTTTTAAACACTGCCTGGCCTGTTAGCTCTATCCTCTTACTGGCTAGCTTTCACATCTTGATTAACCCATTTCTAATAATCTGTGTAGCACCACAAGGTGGTGGCTTACTGGGAAAGATTCAGCATGTCTGACCTGGTGGCTGGCTTCATGGCGGTCTGACCTCACTTCCCTTCTTCCCAGCATTCTGTTCTGTCTACTCCACCCACCTATGTTCTGACCTATCAAGCCAAGCAGTTTCTTTATTAATTAACCAATGAAAGCAACAGATAGACAGATGACCCTCCTCCATCACACGAGTTTTGTATGGCACTCGGTGCAGCAAAGAAGCAGGGTTTCTGAGGAAGCACTGTGAACTTGCTGCTGGATAAAGGCTCTCCAGAAGCGGTGGTCCAAGTTTGATATATTAAAAGCACATCATCTCAAGTCGATGTTATCTCTGTTACATTGTAAGCTAGCAGGAGATTTCACGGTACGAGATAAAAACGGGCATTTATTCCCTTCTCTTGTTCTAATTCGGGGACTGCACAATTGTGCTCAAGATGGGGCCTAAGCTGTACCTCTCTGAGGACTGGCTGAGGTTTGGGGGGGATCTGTTTTCAAGGTAGCTTGCTCATGTGACTGGCAAGTTTCAAAAGAAACAAACCCAGGGAGGCCTGGATACTTCATTCTGTAGCCCTCGCCACATAGAACTGTTAATAGCATGGCACCTAGACTCCCCCTAGCCAATGGGCCAAGAAAATAATGCACTGTATTTTGGGCCTTAGCTTTCTCTAATTGGAGGAGGCTGTCTGCCATATCCTCAGTATTGTCCGCTCTGAAGGGTGGGAGAGAATTACCTGACCAGGGCTATAAGGCCGAACAGTTAAGAGTCACTGGGAGCCATCTTAAACTCTGGTTATCTTAAGTCATAATGGTAAGCAGGACAAGAATAAGTCATCATTGTCATGCTTGCCCTTTGGTTAGGAGTTGGAATAAGGGGCAGGTCAGTTCAGTGGTTATCGAACATCACAGTCGAGACCTGCACAGGCCTCTTTTCAAATTCTAGCTCCATCGCTTACTGGATTTCTCCCTTTCTCTGAGAAGTGGGCAATGCTAGCATCTAGAAAATCCACAATGAAGGCAGGGATGAAGTCACATGTACTGAAGCAGGATCACCTCCCTCCAGCGGTCCCTGATCACCTCCCCATAGACAAACATGTGAGAACGTTAGAGCCGTTATATTCGAGGCTCTCCCTGTGAGCAGGCCTTTCCTGGGAGCCTGACACATGAGTTGATGCCGAAAGTTAAATCCCCGCGTCTAATTTTTCACATCTGTAGAGCCAGAAATAGCAACTTCCCGGGAGTCCAGTGCGGGATGAAATAATGCATGGAAATGTTTTTCCAGTGTCTGGCCCCAGAGTTCACACACTTGTCATTGTCACCGGTGTCCTGCTTTGAATTTACGAGCAGAGTTGCCACAATGGATTCAATAGAAACAATCAGTAGATTCAGCAAAGGCTTGTACTCGTCCACCGATGGTGTCACCACTAGGGGAAGGGTTTTCAACAACTTCCTTTGGAGACCCCTTTCATGGGAACCTCGGGGATTTTAATAACACAGTAATGGTTTCCAGAAAGATTATACGCTGGGCTGCTTGCGGGCCAGGCTCTGTCTTGAACATCTTGGCCTTGCTACTTCTCAGTTTCCAATTCTGGAAAATAAAAAAGAAAAGGAAGGAAGGAAGAAAGAATGAAGGGAAAAATTAAAAATAGGGAGGGGGGGTGAATGAAGGAAGCAATGGTCAGTATTTCTTGCTTCCCAAAGGACGCATGAAACAACCACAGCAATCCAGCTGCTTATCCACATTGCTTATTTGGCTCTGCATAACGTGTTGCCGCAGAAGGTATTTTATTGCTTCAAGCAAGTTTGCAACCCCTGAGATGAACCAATGATCTACAAGTCACCGTCTGGCTCCATGAATCTTCCCTAACCCAGTTGCAGACACTCCGTGCCCAGCAATAACTCCTGTTGCCAAGTCCCCTCACTTCTGATATTTTTAGGTGCCTGCATTTGTCCCAAATGGATTAGCATTGACAGCTGGTGTTTGACAGACAAGAGCCAAGGAGGACTTTCTCTGCCCAGTGAGTCTGCATCTCTGCTCTGAGCCTAGCCACCTAGGGAGGAAGCAAGCGGTGAAGCAGACTGCAGGTCATGTGTAGCCAGCAAAGAGCAAAGAATCCCCCTGAAAGCAACGGCAGTGTTTACAGAGAGGAACAACATGAAGAAATGACATAGATCCTGAAATGCCACTGCCATCCAACACCAAGGTCCTGAGATGAATGAGATAAGCAAAACCAAAATGGCTAGTTTCTTTTCTCCCCTCTTTAAATGATTGTTTTCAATTTAATTGTCCTACTGAGGTTTCTCTGGCCCAGCCAGCAAACTTTTGCTGAGAATTACCTACAGAATGAATTTTTATGCCTCAGAAAGTAAAAAGGAGCTGACAAGATGAGCCATATCCTGCTGAAAAATAAATAAATAAATAAATAAATAGCCCAACAACATCATAGGAATGTGCTGGATGAATGCATGTCCCAAATGCCAAACTGTGCTGACCAAATCCTTGGCTTCCCTCCTGGTTGGTATCTCCTGCCCATGGCCTCAGGGAACTTCCATTTCCCCTGGAGAACTTCTTTGGAGTACCAACTTCTTATGACATTTCTGTGTCTCTGAATTACCTCTCTTAAGGAATCTGGCTAAAGAATGAACACCTAGTTCCTCTTGCGGCCATCGCTGGATCGCAGCCGCCAAAATGAAGTTCAATCCGTTTGTGACTTCTGACCGGAGCAAGAACCGCAAATGGCATTTCAATGCACCTTCTCACATTCGGAGGAAGATCATGTCTTCCCCCCTTTCCAAAGAGCTGAGACAGAAGTACAATGTTCGCTCGATGCCCATTCGAAAGGATGACGAAGTTCAGGTTGTCCGGGGACACTACAAAGGCCAGCAGATTGGCAAAGTGGTCCAAGTGTACAGGAAGAAATACGTCATTTACATTGAACGGGTGCAGCGAGAAAAGGCTAATGGCACAACTGTCCACGTGGGCATCCACCCCAGCAAGGTGGTAATCACCAGGCTAAAGCTGGACAAAGACCGAAAGAAGATCCTGGAAAGGAAAGCCAAGTCTCGACAAGTAGGAAAGGAGAAGGGCAAATACAAGGAAGAAACGATTGAGAAGATGCAGGAGTAGGGGCGTCTCATACAGTTTCCATTAAAGACTGCTTGAGTAAAAGTAAAAAAAAAAAAAAAAAAAAAAAAAAAAAAAAAAAAAAAAAAAAAAAAAAAAAAAAAAAAAAGAATGAACACCTAGGACAAAACTAAATAAGGAATTTCCCAAGGGCATGGTAGCAAGAAGGAAACATACAGTTGTGTGCTTACTTCAATTCATTGATAAACTGAGAACTTTAGGTACTCTTAGCCCAGTGTCTAACTTGGACAGTCACAGACATCTGGACCACAGGCCTGTTAATGGATGGAAGGTGACCTTGCTTGTCTGCTATGTAGAACCCACCTCCAAGGCTGGGCAAAGCTGCTTCCTTGGTTCTGTTCATTTGTCACCATGTAAGGAAAGCTATCTCTAAAAATAAATTTATTTGTCACCATGTAAGGAAAGCCATCTCTAAAAATAAATGTGCCTTTTAGCATTTTCTACTAATAAAAGGAAGAAGAAAAGAGGTAGAGATGGAAAGGAAGGAAGGAAAGAAGAAAGCAAAGAAGGAAGAAAGGAAGAAAGGAAAAAAGGAAGGGAGGAAGGAAGAAAGAAAGAAAGAAAGGAAGAAAGGAAGGAAGGAAGGAAGGAAGGAAGGAAGGAAGAAAGAAAGAAAGAAAGAAAGAAAGAAAGAAAGAAAGAAAGAAAGAAAGAAAAAAAAAACAGACCAAGGGTTTAATTTTTCTTATGTGCCTCTGCCCAGCTTCACTCCAGTTGGTTCTCATTTGTGGCAATGTGTACTTTGGAAGCAGAGCCCTCTGCCTTCCCGTCAACTCCCACCACCTGGGATGTGTTATTTTGATGGGGGCAGGGATGCTGATGCTCATATTCCACACTGTGGAAACAGATTGTAAAAGAGGTGAACTTTTGGAGGAATGTCTTGCTTGAACCCTTTCCATTGGACTGCGCTAGGAAGCCAAATGCTTGGTCCTGATCCACAGATCCATCCAAGAATTGCAAACCCCAGACTCACTCGGGTGGGGTGATGGCTCTCTGAAGCCGTCTCCGCTGCTTGCATCACTGAGGGGGTGAGTCTAATCAAGATGGGCTGTGCGTGTGTTCAAAACAGCTGGAAAGCATTACAGGTCAAAAGTTGAAATCAAGTTAAGAACAATCGGAATGTGCAAGCCTGTTGTTTCTAATCTCTGCTTCTTTTTCTAATCTGTTCAGTTCTCCTTGTGGAATGAAAGGTCTTGGTCAGGAATGGTGTTGTTGTCTCATGGACCAGTAAAGCTAAAGTTGAAGAAGTCAATAGAAGGGCATCTTATATTTGCTAGTAAGAACAAAGATGGTAGATCCTCCAGGTGAAACTAGAGAGAAGGGACGTGCAGATGTCCATGCTGGGAGAATTATTACAAACTGTCCAAACTCCTTCTCTATCAACAAGTTTGAGAAATAGAACCAGAGACATTAGTGTCATTCTCAAAGTCACTCAGCATCTAGTGGCTAAACCACTTAACAGTTTAGCCTAGCTAGGCTGTAACCATGGTTTCATCACAAGAAATGAAATATTTTTAGTCTACTAGGCCTTGGGTGATAAAGCTTCTACCACTCTTCAGTCACTGGTCCACATCTTGTCTTTGCCACCACTCTCTTGGTGAACTTTCCCCTCCCACTTCTGAGTTTGTATGGTCCTTCCTAGGTGTGTCTCCCTACTGCTATTATATGGGATAGGCATGTTCTTCTCATGATGTTTTAGTGAGATACCTATTCAGAGTGGCCTCCTCATTGGGCCTCTCTCTCCTCAGCTCCCTTGTATCTCCCCACCCCCCATCCCCAGCCTCTAGTAACCCCCCAATAATGTTTACTCTTCCATTATCTACCCCTACTATGAGAGTGTAAATTCTGGTGCTAGAAATCCAATGTCTAGTCAATTTTGCTAAATCTTACTCTCTAGTGCCCAAAACATGACAGGTGTCCAGAAGCTTTTGACAAACCAATTAAACAATCAGCTGAATAGAGAATGGATTCAGAACTCATTCCCTACTATCTCCTTGGTAACTAAACACTAGGTTGTGCAGTGGCTTCAAACTGGGTGTACATTCTTTGAGCTGGGATAGCCTATTCCCCTCCTCTTGATTATAAATGGGTTCTGTGACTGAAAGTAGCCCATGCCATTTTCTAAACCTAGGTTTGGTACCAGCAGCTTCTGCTCTTGCAACTATCCCTAGTAGCTCTCAGATACCAAGAGTGCTCCTGAGATGACCACCATTGCCAAGCATGGTTGGGGCCCTCCCAAAATATGCACCACACAAATGAATGCAATCATTCTAGACTCCCCTTCCCCAACAAAGGCTCAGCCAGCCTTCAATACCATGGGCTCACCTCAGCCATGAACAAGGCAGGGGTTACTTTAAGCTGATAATTGTGAATGCAATGGGAGAGTGATCGTTTTCAAGTGCAAACCCAGCCTTTGTCCTCATTTCCCATACATAGCTCCTAACATCTTGGAAATCTCTAGAGTGATGTGTCTTTGTGTATGTTTGTGTGAAAGAGTCAACCTGTGGCTGGAAATGCCTGGTCATCAAAATACAGTAAAGAGTTAGAATCTCTTGGGCAGTCCACTGTGAATTAACAGATATCAGTGATTGCCTGTAATAATCGTAATTCTTCAAAAATAACTTGGGCCTTAGACAAGACCTCTGTTCCCTGTTAGAAACATTCTGTTTCGCCATCTGTCTCTCCTATATTACACTTTTTTAAAAACAATAATAAATGTATATATTTATTTATTTTACATCCCTACTCCAGTTTCCCCTCCTTCTTCTCCTCCCAGTACCTGCCCCCATCATCCTCTACCCAAACCCCACAATCCACACCTCTGTTTCTGTTTAGTAAAGGGCAGGTTTTCCATGAGTATCAACAAAACATGACTTAGCGAGTTGCAGTAAGACTAAAGTACATCCCCATGTATTAAGGCCAGGCAAAGTGACCCAGTATAAGAAGTAGGGTTCCAAAAGTCTGCAAAAGAGTCGGAGACAGTTCCTGTTCCCACAAGAATCCCACAAGAGGACCAAGGTGTGACACCTAGGCAATGTGCCTATGCCTGTCCCATGCAGTCTCCCTAGGTGTTGGTTCAGTCTCTGTGAGCCCCTATGGGTCCTAGGTTACTAGATTCTGTGAGTTTTCTTGAGGCGTCCTTGATGACTCTGGCTCCTACAACCCGTTCTCCTCTTATGCAGAATTCCCCGAACTCCACCTAATGTCTGTCTGTGCGTCTGCGTCTGTTTCCATCAGTTGCTGGATGATCCCTATCTGCTGACAACTGGCCTAGGTACCAATCTGGTCACAGGAGATGGCCAGTTCAGGCTAGGTATCTGCTATTGCTAGGCGTCTAAGCTGGGGTCTTCCTTGTAGATTCCAGGGAGATTCCCTTGCACCAGGTTTTAAGCCTCAACTAAAGTTCTTTTGTCCTTTCAGGGGCTGATTGTCGGTACCAGTGG